AGCTATAAAGCAGTGTGTAGATTCGTATGATTTTGCGTTAGGAGCATTCGTTTTCGCAGTGTGAGGGGTCAATGACGGTGACAAATCGGTCACCGAAATCCTCACGCAGGCCCAAGATGACCTTGTTCGTTGCCAAAGAGCATTGGCCTCTGTTGAAGTTCCGCTTCCTATGCCAGTAACGACGACGAACTTTTGGGTCATGTTATATAGGGATGTTGCATTCCTTGTTACTTCCCAGTTATTCAATATCTAGAAAAAGATAAGAGAATAATGTATTAAAATTTAAAAATACACACGTACCAAAGAAATGTATCTATGATTACTATAAATAAACAGACAGTTGAAGAAATGAAAAAAATTTGATATGAATAACGAATATCGACCGTTTTCTATCATTGTTGTGTTCTTCTTTAGTTTGGATTTCTTATCATGCTTTCACTTTACTATGCATTGGCTTTAACGAAGATGAAATTATGGGACATGTATTTTCATTAAAACTTGACATCCCCGTATCAGTCCAAATGCAGGCTCTAACTTATTTCATTCACCATTCGATGCATTCAACTTGAAACATTTTTAAGCATTTGGAAGAGAACAACTAATGCGCATCCAATTTTTTGTTCTATGCACCCATGTCTGTCATATAGCCCACTTTGTTCTATGACCTTTCCTTAGACAATCCAAAATATTCAATAGTCTTCTGAGACTGCCTCCTTTGACTAATGACATTCATTTCAAGAATGCAAAATCCTGGATCATGGTCAGCATATGATTACGAAGAGCTTGCTCGAGTCGCTCTTGAGTTAGCAGCAACGAATACAAAAGATAGGCACAACTTTATAAACATTTAATCAAGAGGGATTCGAGAGAGCCTATTTAACAATATCAGTTTTGGTACCGCGCGGTGGTGGTTTTATTGGCATGCATGAGGACAAGGATAGGCCTGGGCCTCTCCATCATTTTCTTTATTTTGTATGCTTTAGCTTGTGTTTGTTATTCTTTAAGGGGCATGTTATCGACACACACCTTTTTACTTCTCATACATCCTTTTTAATTTTTGTTCATTAATCTTCTTCACTTCATCCGATCCAACGGCCGAAAATTAAAAAGGTGTGTGAGAAGTAAAAAGAAGTGTGTGGATATCACACCCCTTCTTTAATTTCTGTTTGTGTACTTTCCATTGAGCACGATGTTGTTAAATCACCATTTTGCATGGATAGTGTTGTTTAAAAAGTTTATATTGAAAAAAAGAATCACATTTGCATTTTTGAGCCGTGATTTATAATGCTTGTTCAACTTCGGTGTAGTAATCGTTTCTTTTTAGCAGAATTTTTGAACAAGTTCGGTGCTTATGATATTATTATCTCAGTGTTAAATTATTATTTTCGTGACTCCGTTGCTCTCCTTTGATTCAAATTTGCATTCCTACACAAAAGTTAACCCTCAAATCTTCTCCCATTGATCGTATTATTTTTAATCTAATTTTTGTCACATGGCCTAGAGGATCCTCCTAACTTCAATTTTTGGCTCCGCCAACTAAATGTGATGACAAACTACGAGCATCCTGTGACGGCCAAATTTAAATTCAAAATTGTGGGCAACGATGCGAGTAACGGTCAAACTGCGTTGAGGTCTAAATAGATCAAATTACAAGATATATGCACCAAAAACCACAATGTCCAATTGTGTCGTTGGGATTGGAATTCTAGAAACCATGAAGTCCAGCTTTTGTTGTGTTTTAGTTCAAACAAAAATCACAAGAAGAATGGGTTAAAGCAAGTAATTTCCATCCAATGGTTTATTACGTAACAGAAAAACAAAAACAAAAGGTACAGAAGACTGGGCCCCTAAATTTAGACCTATACCCTTCTTGGGTTGCGCATATATATCATACTCCATTCATTCATTTCTTAACCCAAGCAAAGAATTTGTAATCACGTTAGCTTCAATTTAAAAACATACATCTTGAGCAATGGCCCCCTCAATCAGTTATGCAGTGTTCATTGCCTCCTTGCTCTTATGTCTCTCGTCGTCTCCGGCATCATTTGCAAATGCAAGAGCGTCCCAATTAGTTAGGAGTGTTTGCAAGCAAACCCAAGAACAATTCGGCTACAACTATAGGCAGTGCGTAAAAGCTCTTTGGAAAGATATTCCAATTAGATCGGCAACTAATCTCAAAGATCTTGATATAGCCGTTCTTAAATTAGCAGCAGCAAATGCAGCACAAACCAAAGCTACGTTTGAAAAAGCTTTCAACGCCACCGACAAGAATGCTAATGGCACGACAGCTATAAAGCAGTGTGTAGATTCGTATGATTTTGCGTTAGGAGCATTCGTTTTCGCAGTGCGAGGGGTCAATGACGGTGACAAATCGGTCACCGAAATCCTCACGCAGGCCCAAGATGACCTTGTTCGTTGCCAAAGAGCATTGGCCTCTGTTGAAGTTCCGCTTCCTATGCCAGTATCGACAACTAACTTTTGGGTCATGTTATATAGGGATGTTGCATTCCTTGTTACTTCCCAGTTATTCAATATCTAGAAAAAGATAAGGGAATAATGTATTAAAATTTAAAAATACATACGTACCAAAGAAATGTATCTATGATTACTATAAATAAAAAGGACAGAAAGTTGAAGAAATGAAAAAAATTTGATATGAATAACGAATATCAACCGTTTTCTGTCATTGTTGTGTTCTTCTTTAGTTTGGATTTCTTATCATGCTTTCACTTTACTATGCATTGGCTTTAACGAAGATGAAATTATGGGACATGTATTTTCATTAAAACTTGACATCCCCGTATCAGTCCAAATGCAGGCTCTAACTTATTTCATTCACCATTCGATACATGCAACTTGTGTTTCTTTATTCAATGGGTGGGAGGATTTGAACTTCAAGCATTTTTAAGCATTTGGAAGTGAACAACTAATGCGCATCCAATTTTTTGTTCTATGCACCCATGTCTGTCATATAGCCCACTTTGTTTCATGACCTTTCCTTAGACAATCCAAAATAATTCAATAGTCTTCTAAGACTGCCTCCTTTGACTAATGACATTCATTTCAAGAATGCAAAATCCTGGAACATGGTCAGCATATGATTACGAAGAGCTTGCTCGAGTCACTCTTGAGTTAGCAGCGAGGAATACAAAAGATAGGCACAGCTTTATAAACATTTAATCAAGAGGGATTCGAGGGAGCCTAGTTTACAATATCAGTTTTGGTAGCGCAGGTTGGTGAGTTTATTCTAGTGGCAGACATGAGGACAAGGATAGACCTTGGCGCCTCCATCATTTTCTTTATTTTGTATGTTTTAGCTTGTGTTTGTTATTCTTTAATTTCTGTTTGTGTGCTTTCCATTGAGCACGATGTAGTTAAATCACCATTTTGCATGCATGGTGTTGTTTAAAAGTTTATATTGAAAAGAAAAAAAATTTCACACATTTGCATTTTTGAGCCATGATCTATAATGCTTGTTCAACTTCAATGTAGTATCGTTTATTTCTAAACTTATGAAAAAGTTCGGTGTTTATGGTATTATTATCTCAATTATGATTGAAGGTGGTGGAGTATATCATCTGTTAAAGTTGGCTCTTTTAGGCCCATGGTGCATGCTAAGAGGAAAGCCACGAAAAGCCCAAGGAGATTGGGTAGACGTAGGCCTAAGGGCCTTGAAGAGGATACCCTCGAGCGCTATAGCCTACTAGTTATGAGCTTAGCCCAACTAGCATATGTAAAGAGCTTTATGATTCCAGAGACATGTGAGCAATCAGAAAGCTTTTTGGCATAAGTCTTTAAGAACAAAGCTACCCAGATGTCAATCAGGCTACATGGCAACTTCCTGTTACTGGTCGAGACCTAAGATGGGATGTAAAGGTGGTTAGAAAGACACTTAGATGGATAGGGTTGGAAAACTAAGGCCGAGTGCCGCTCAGCTCGCACCCGCCATTTCGACTAAACACATGTGATTCCACCACCAAATGTTTGGTTGGTAGGTGGAAATGTTTAAGTATGCTAGTCTACATAGGTGGCGTATAAAATACCGAGTTGGGAGAACCCAAGGTTGGGGGGTTCATTGATGACTTATATAAAAGGGTTGGAACCTCTTGTATTGCGGTCAGACGACTAAAAAAAAAAGTTTATGTACTAGCCGAACGCTATTTTTAGTCATGAAATCAATATAATCCGAGCACATAGTGCCCCAATTTTGAGGGAGACCCACTTAAATCTTTGAGTCCATTTCATTCCAATTAGACGTTGCATCCGTTAAAGTAAACGGGTAATATGACCCGACACGTTACCTATTAAAGAAAATATATTTTAAATCAATAAATAATGAAAATGAAAAACATAATTTGACCCAAGAAAAATGGAAAGCATAATACTAAATTAGTATACGCATACCTTATTGTCACATAAATATTACTTCAAAACATAAAAAATTAAAATTAATAAGAGCCTAATGAAAAAAACATTAGTACATTACTATAAAATACCAAATGCTGAAGGATATGTGAAATGAAGGGAGTTGCGTATCAAGGTTGTGGAACCTTGCACATTTTTCAAAACCCTTCAATTTTCACCAATCACCAAGGGAAATAGTATTAGAATTTTGGCTTGGGATATTATCTTCAGGAGTTATATTGACAATATTTTCGTTAGGCTTTAATGTGTTTTCTAATTTTTTTTATTATTTCACTCTTTGCCTATAGTATACTATAAAATAAATAAATTAATTAAACTTCTTTTTAAATTTATATAAATAGGTAATAATACATATTTAATATACAATATATACATTATATCATCCGTATACTAAAACTCAATACAAAATCACTATTTATTAACAGTAAACGGGTGAAAAAGCCTTCCAATTCCTTTGTTATCTGCCCTTTTTTCTTTTTTTTAACAGTAAAAAGACAGCTTTGCCCTTCTTCTCCACTTGTTGATCAGTTTCAGCTTCTGTCATTTTCATTGGCGTAAATGCCCTCCGTTTCTTCTCCATTACGTGTTTGTCCACGTGTTGCTCATCGCACTGCATCAACTACTTCTCAACTTTTCCTTCCGTTTCCACTTTTTCCCTCGCAATTCCCTGCTTATGTCGCCCTCGATCTCGATCCTCGATTTCTTTCGCTCTCAAATGCCACGTTCTCTCCCTCTCCGACCTTGCGATCTTTGTCTCACAAATTACCAACCACACTTTCTTGCTGAAAAACCACCCAATCTGTAGAAGTTTCTTCGGTTCTTTAGTTGGATTCGGAGAAATTTTGTACCCAGAAAAGCTAGCGTTTCCTGGTGAGTTTTACGGCTTTCTCAATATAGATGTTTCAATTTCTTTTCTGTGATTTTGGATTTGCATATGGGTGTTCTATTCAAATTTCTTTTTTGTGATTTTGGGGGTTTTGTTTGTACCCTCGGATTCTGCATGTGGGTGCTTAATTCGGCTGCATATGGATGTTTAATTTGGTTTTATTTTCGGTTTTAGGTGGCCCTGGATTTTCCTTTTTTTGGGGCTTTTGTAACTCAAGGTGAGCAATTTCAGCTTCTCTCTTCGGGGCTATTGTGGAACCAAATTTTTAATTTTTATAATTGTGAAAGTTGAATACAACACTTTGTTTAGTTTCCATTTAGTACATTAATGCATAACTCTGTTTTCCTCTCCTCCTTAAATTCATATATGGAAATAGGAAGTTTAAGAATCTTTGTTCTTGCTAATAGGTTTAATAATAGTGACGTTTGAATGATCTTGGTTTCCAGGAAACTGTTTTTAAAGAATGGTAGCTGGTGATTCAAGAAATAGTTAGATTTTTTAAAGCTGACACAGGTTTTAGGAATATCAGGCTTTGAGATACAATACTGTTCTAGGCTGTCATCCAGATTCCCAACTACATGTTTCCACGACGGTTTCAAAGAGGTCCTTGAGACGATCAGATGCTATACTGAGCAGCTACCATCAAGGTTAGGTATTGAGGCTTTTCCTTGACTTATTTTTCTCTTGGAATATGAAACCATATGTTTTTCCTGCATGTTGGTGCATGTAAATAACATAATGTTTCATAATCTTTTATTTAGAGTTTTATAAATATGATAAAAGTGGATATAATTTTGACAATGACCTAACATGGCTATTTTGAAGGTAAGAGCGATCGTCTTTCTCTTCGTCACTAGATGCCTCAAGAATTTATAGTCACTTACCCAACTTGGGATTTGAGTAAGGGAAAATTATATTTTACTCCTTTAGGTTTAGGGTCAATTTCAATTTCTTATAACATTTTAAAACATATTCAATCTCATACATTTACTTATCACCCCAAAATCCCACCCGAGCCCACCCCCAAAAATCCCAACTGAGCCCACCCAAGCTTCTTCCTCTACTCTTCTTTTTTTTTTTTTTTTTTTTTTTTTTTTTCTCTCTCTCTCTCTCTAACCCTAACCTTAATCTCATGCACTTCTCTATCTTCTTCTTAACCAGCGCGCTCCCGAGGTGGGACCTAGACCTGACAGGCCGAAGCAGGCTCTTGTCGGCTTACCCCCATTGGGAAGGCAGCAACAACCAGTTTGCATGAGTGGGTATCGGACGCTCTGCGATCGTTTGAAGGAGTTGGTCTTGAAGTGGAAGAGGCTGTTTTGCGGGTCCCTCTGCACCAACTTCAAGTATTGGGGAAAATCGACATCGCCAATGGTTTTGCTGCAGAAGACGACGACGAAGGAGTCAAGTTCAAACTCTAGCCCGTCAGGTCTAGGTCCCACCGACGGAGGGGGTGGGCTTGGGTGGGATTTTTGGGGGTGGGTGATGGGGGATTTTTGGGAGGGGTGATGGGATGGGAGAAGGGGGTGGGTCGGAGAAGACAATTTCATGTTTTTTTTTTTTAATTTTATTTTCTTTTCTTTAGTTAATTATGTTTATATTTTAATTTATTTTTTATTAAGTGTTTAGCCTCGTGACAACCACGTCATCATTTAACGATTAATTTAACATATTTTCTAACGGTTGTATGAAATTGAAATAAAATGATAAGTAAATGTATGAAATTGAAATGTTTTAAAGATGTTAAAAATTGAAATTAATCCTAAACCTAAGAGGGTAAAATATAATTTACCCTTGAGTAATCATGAATAAATTAATTTCGTGTTACCATGTGCTGTGCTGGTGAGAGGACTTTGGGATTGGAGGGAGGACCAGAGAGAGACGTTTGGATTTGAGAAAAGCAATTGGTATTGAAAATTGAGATATCATACAATGTATACCATGGCATGGTCGGTTCTAGCTTTTTCTCTTCCTTGGTATGCATTATTTCTCCCTCTCTTTTAATTTTTTTTTTCGTTTTTATTTTCTGCAATTTGTGTGTGAAAATTCTTGAATTTGTTGGTTTGTTGTGTTGGATTTCTCTTCAATTTTGATTTCCCGTTTAGAAAAATGATCGTTTCGTTTGCTTTTTCCTTTTTTCTTTGTTGGGGTTTTCAATTGCCATGATTTAATTTAATTTTGTTTATCGGAGACTTGTTTCCTATAAAAATTGAACCATTTCCTGTATTTTCTGGATAATTCTTTTATCCCCTTTCTTTTGCGTTTAATTTGCTTAGGAAAATTTGTTTTGGAACCGAAAGTGTATCTCTTAATGTGATTAAATTCTGGTCACAAGGATTTTGGTCTCTAGATTTTCATAGTGTAATTCTTATGGTGATAATTTTTGCCGTTGTCTTTGTTTTTGTACTTCTCCCAATTGTATGTAAATTCAATGAATTGTGAAATTTTTGGTGTAGTGTATTCAATGAATTGGCCAAACAGATTGATAATTAACAATAGTAATAGTTGATTTCTTTTCGGAAAACTGTTGCTGGCCAAAGAGAGGTCACAATGTGCCATTTTGTATGAACTATATGTGAATAGTGATATATTGTAAGGTGATTGAGGTTTGTGCAGGTAATTACTATAAATACAAATGGATGGTGCACACAAATTACTAAAACTTAACCAAAAATAACAAATCCAGATACCAATTTACTTCAAATGATGCATCACAAAGCTTTACATGGCATATGACTCATCACAAATAGATAAGTCATTAATGACATGTGGCACAAATCAAGCAAAGGAAGCTCAAAACCTTCCCAAAAGTCAGCAAAAGGGGAAGAAATCTCCTTAAAATCAGCAAGGGACCCAAATTGGTCTCAAAACGGGAAAGAAAGCTAAAGCATCTTCACAAAACAAGCAAAAATTGAAGAGTGCTCACAAAATAGGCAAGAAAGCCATATAATTCGACCAAGCAAGGGGAAATTAAGACACAAAACATGCCTAAATTCTCCCATGGAAGAATCAAGGCACAAATCAAAGCCAAATCCATCCAAAGGCAAACTTTGAAAAGTTTATAAATACAAGGTTCTCAGACAAGCATAAGGTCGACAATTTCTACATTTAAGGTCGATAATTTCTAGATTGAAGGGTTGAAATTCCCACAAAATGAGAACCTCTGTCAAATATTTGAAGACTAATATGCTGCCAAAACTCTCTTCAAATAACGCACAACCAAAGCCGAAACTTTCTTTCGACCAAAGCTAAAGCACACCCTTGAAGAATCAATAAGCACTTGTGCTGATTCCTTCAAGACTTTGTTACAAGCTCAAAACTTGTAACGACGTTCGATTCAAGATCAAGTTGCCAAGATCCTTAAATCAACGAAATCCTAGATCAATGCTACCTTTGCTGCAACCCTAAACCTGAGGTGAAGACTATCCATGCATTGTTTCAAGCTCAAAACTTGAAAGAATCGTTCAATCGTTTGTCCAAGATCAAATTATTGCGACCCTTGGATCAACAACCTACACATCTACATCAAATTTAAAGAATGAATCAGAGGAAAATTGTAAACAGAGATTGTAACCCTACAAATTCATCAATATCAATCTACTTTGTGCACGTGTTCTCGTTTCATTTGTTACAAAATTTTCGTGTTTACAAATACATTGCCACCACTTTAGGTGTTAACAATAAAGAGTGCAAAGCGTTGCAGCATGAAATTTTGATGTATGTTAACACCATTATCTTTAAATGTGGTTTTTTAACGGATTCCACTCGTACTTTTCCTCTGCTCTTTTTTCGCAGATAGTTTCTCTACTTACATAAATGTTTTATGAATTTCAGTTTTTATTGTCTGATTATTTTTTGCAGTGGTTGTATTAATTTTGTTTTAACTAGAAATTTGGGGGTTTCTTCATTGTTATCAAATACGATTTTTCTAATTTTCTAATTTTGGGGTTTTGCAAGGAATGGAATTTTGGTCTTTGCAGATTTTGGGGCTTTGAAATGAGTATGTGTTGTTTTTATCGTTTCGGTTCTTACGTGTTCCTTTCTTTGATTTCTGTTGTCTGTTTGCTTCTGCGTTACTTTGTAATTCATTTTCGTGATGGAATCTAGGATTTTTAGTAAATTTTCTATGTAATTCCAATTGAAAGACTGGAAAATGATTAAAATTATGTTCTCTTTCTTTTTCTTTATTTTTTTCAAATTTCTCTTAAGTTTTTTTTTTTCTGGGATTTAAAAGTATCTTTTCTCGATTGGTTAGAATTTTTTCATCTCTCCAATTTGTTCTTTTTTATCCTTTCCAACCTTTTTGTCTAAATTTTTTTTTTTTTTTTTTTGGGTTTTTTGTGACTTAGTGCAGAAGTTAGAATTAGCTTTTCACATAACATGGATGATCAGTACGAGACACTCATCCGAAGAATGAATCCAGGAAGGTGTATGCAAAAATCATACTTTGGGTTTGTATAGAAACATGAGTTTTCTTTTAGCATACAATGTTGATGCAATAATTTATCTCATGGTTTGTAAGATATCGTATGAATTTTACCTACCTAACGGTCAATTGCTGATGTCACTTCTGAGAAGCTGAGATTAGCATATGACATGTCACAACAATATATTTTTCACAAGCAGATGCTGAAACTTTACACATCACACTAGGTAAGTTTCAATGTTTTTCGCTCCCACTTTAGGGCTTTTCTAATTAATATTTTGTGCTGAAATTTGATTGAACTTTATATGGTTTGATTTTAGGATTCCTCAAGTCAAATTGCCACCAGGGTAATCAGAAAAGAAAAAAAAAAGATTTGGTCTCTGGTTACAAGATGACTTCACCTCTCCCTCTCTCTCTCCAAAACTCAATTTTGAAGTTATTGTGCATATTTTTTTTTCGGATCACTGTCACCTTTAGACTTTGTCTTATGGTTTTATCATCGTACATCGTTGGTTGGCTGTCTTTGTTTTCTTCTGCAGCATGGAGGGTTGTGCAAGGCGTTTTTTGCAATTTATTGCAAAATAATGTCAATTTTCCCTTCTTTGGATACAGCTCAACCTCGGAGCAAGTCTGGTATCTATTTACGTTCGTTGCATGTAGAACTTGAAAAGGCTAAGAATGTAGTAAACTTTATTTGGCCGGTATCTCCTCAAATATTACATTTGTACTTGATGCAGTTATCGTTGCTCCAACTTTTTAAGTGAACAATTATTTTCCCCTTTCTACTTTGAAGAAATAGAATTCTCTTTAGATATTTAAATTTATTTCATTCATGATGATGTTGTGTATAAATTGTATTAGAGTTCGTAACTCAATTTTTTACTTGAACATTGTTTATGAAGATTGCAGTTGCATAATCTTTCATATAATTTTCAACCATGCAGCAACGCACGGGTACAAATTCTTGCATACTTTATGGCTATTGTATTTTATAGTAAGTTTTTTTAGTATAAAAAATTAAAATCATCAAAGTAACTCTTTTCTTAACGTGTCGAAACGGATTACCCGCATGTCATCTTCGTGTAAGCCTATTATTAATGGGTTCTTATAGTGTGATTCGACAACGACCCGATTAGTTATCATGTTGACTCAAAACCTGTTATTTTCGTGTCGTTTACGTGTTATGTATGTAACGTGTCGTGTAAGAATTTGCCAGATCTAATTTTAATCCATATTCCAATCCCATTAAGGATTTAGTATTTAATTTGTTAACTTGCAAATTTTGAGTGTTAACATCATCATAGAATTGAGAAAAATGAAATCCATCAAAATCTTAGGAAAGGTTGGATTTGCTATGTCAAAAAACTTACGATAAAAGCACTCAAATCCGTAACTTTAATTTTTTTTGTTGAACAAAACTTGTTAAATTTTTTAGATAAATGAGTTTTGTATACACTTAAGACTTTTGTAGACTCACAAAAAGTTATAATTGAATATCAACATATTTTGATAGGGTTTTTATAAATCATAAAAAATATTTATTCAATATAGGGTAACTTTTATTGACCCTTTAAAAGTCTGTATTGAATACATTTGAATTTGACAGTCAAACAAAGTCTATCACAATCCATACCACCCCTAAATTCCTATTATTAATTATGTGACTATATTTTGTTTGTTAATTGGTAAAACACCAAATTACTTGCACCACATGTATCTTAGTTTTTCATTAAATTACACAATTGGCGAGCCATAATGAACCAATATAGTACTAAATAACTCCACTCCTCATTTATCAATTCTTTTATTCAGGCCCATTCTCTCAAGAAATATGAGGCTTTCTCTTGTGCACATCAAATGTACACGATTGAATTTCACTTAACAAAAGTCGTTAAATAATTTACCATAACAAGATCTAACAAATCTAATTTAGATGTGTAATTTAAATATGCACTTTGAATGTAAATGGAGAATAGTTATGACACTCACTCTATATCCAATTTAACGATCTGAATTATCTATCTTCTACGTCTTGTAGAAAAAATGGACTGATGTGTAAACGGGGTATTGGCCTACGACTTATATACGAGGGTAATATCAAAGAGTGGCACTGTTCATAAATTTTCTTATCTTAAGGGTTACTTACGTCATTGAACCGAAATAAAATAAAAATAAATACAGTAGGTACAAAGGGCGGGAAAACGCTTTCATCCCTCCAAAACCCTCCTCCTCTCTCTCTCTCTCTCTCTCTCTCTCTCTCTCTCAGCTTTGTCTCTCAGAAGTCTGAACCCCAAAATCTCAGACGGATATCCATTACAACAGCCCAAAGCAATGAGTGGCTACCAGAGCAGAAAGCGGGACCGTGGCGACTCATGGGTCCCCAGGAAGCAGAAGGTCATGCGGACCGCCGAGGAGGAGCTGGAGTCCAAGCTAGGGTTCGATCTGTTCTCCGAAGGCGATACCAGGCTCGGCTGGTTGCTCAATTTCGCCACCGTAAGCTGATTCTCTACCAGTCGAATTTTGCCCCATTTGATCTTCCATTTCAGAAATCTGTTTTTTTCATTTGGGTCTGTTTGGTTGCTGAAATAGCAAATGGGAAAGTGTCAATTTGAGATTTTTAAGGTTTAAGCTCTGTTTCGAAGTGATTTGATTATGGAAATGGGATGAATTGAAAAGCTCGTTTACAATTACTCGGTTTTTACTTATTTATTGTAATTTGGTGCAACCACATGATGGATATTTGAGTTCAATTATCTTAAAGTATTGTCATTTGGGAATTATAGATGCTTCCTTGTAATTTTGCAGTCATCTTGGGAGGATCAAGACACCCGTAAAGTATATAGTTGTGTCGATTTGTATTTCGTTTCTCAGGTAAGACATTCTGTAAAGAAGTTTTGGTATAATTTGTTATGTTTTATGGTGGTTAATTGTTTTGGCGAATCACTTAGCTGCTTTCTAACTTAATTGCAGGATGGTTCTACTTTTAAGTCAAAATACAAGTTTCGCCCTTATTTCTATGCAGCCACAAAGGTTTCTACCAAACTTATATGTTTGATTCTGCAAAGTTTCTTCGATCATTAGTTATCTTGACAATGATGATGACCTTTTCATTTTAGGAGAAAATGGAAATGGACGTTGAAGCATATTTGAGACGGCGTTATCAAAATCAAATTGCTAATGTTCAAATAGTGCAGAAAGAAGATCTTGATCTCGTAAGTAACCTTATAAAACTTGACCAAGTTTATTAGTCTTTGGTACTTATTTTCCCTTTTTATAACTATTTTGACATTCAATTATGACTAGTTTGAGTTGAATTGACCTATGCCTGGTAGACCCTAGGCATGTTTTGCTTAGGCAAGTTTGAGTTTGATTTTGACATTCTGTCTACTTTGAAATCATTTTCTATTCATTATCTAGTTGGAAGTACTATGTATTCATGATAAGTGTCTGTCTTTTCTGTAAAAATTTTCCATTTTATGGTGATTGATGTACACGATCGATTTGTTTTCTTTTTCAACAAAGCTTTTGCAATCAATTCATATGTGGAAACCATGGACTCTAAAACTTCCAAGCTGACATGTCCCTGTCTTACTTCTTCCTTTCTTGATATGCCTAGGTGGCTTAATCTTTCAACAACTTCACCTTTTGAAGTAATTCCAAACACTCTCCTCAAGCCCTCGGGCATAAATCTTCTTGTTTCTGAAAGAGGATTTATTTTTTTTATTTTTTTTAATTTTTTTATCTCATCTAAGAGATTACAGCTGATTGATTTAGTTGTATTGGGTTGGTTCTTTTGTTTTGCTATGGCATTGCATGCAAGTATTTCAAGGTAAATGGATAATTGTTTAATTCCGGTCTTCAATATGTTAGGAGTTTTCTACACTTACAGACAATTTCTATGATATGGCTCCTCTTGTGCATTGTAACATTAACTTATTTGAGGCATGCAGCATACAAAAACATAGATTGGATATTCAAATTTTTCTATATATGCTGCTATTGTAGAGCTCATTGCGCTTCATTATTTCTTTCACTTATATATCTCCAAATGTGTGTAGTCTAATATGTTTCTGTACTTCACAGAAAAATCATTTGTCTGGCCTTCGCAAGTCCTACCTAAAGCTATCGTTTGATAATGTTCAACAACTAATGAACATCAAGAGTGACTTGCTACATGTCGTCGAACGAAACCGCGCCAAATTTGATGCTGCAGAAGCTTATGAGTCAATATTGATTGGGAAACGGTGAGGTGACGTTGTCTTGATTCTTGTTCCTTTTGGATGTGGAGCTCACTTTGTTTAGATACCTTATTTGGTCAGAATGGTACCTTGCCATTTTCTTTTGGTAGCTTTCGGTTTGCTGCTCAATTGAACTGCTTGTTTTGTTTTCTGATCCTCTTGGTGCTGGTTTTGTAGAGAACAAAGGACTCAAGATTTTTTAGATTGTATTGTTGATCTTCGTGAATATGATGTTCCTTACCATGTCCGCTTTGCCATTGACAATGGTGATTTACACTACATCCTGCTGCTTTCTTGACTTTTTTGTTTGCTTTAGTTTCTGAAGTTCATCCCTTTTCAAATTTCTTGCCACTCAGATGTACGATGTGGGCAGTGGTACGATGTTAGTGTATCCAGTAGTGGTTCTGTGCTTAAGATGAGGACAGATCTTCTCCAGCGTGCTGAAGTTCATGTCTGTGCATTTGATATTGAGACGACGAAGCTACCTTTGAAATTTCCAGATGCTGAATATGATTTAATAATGATGATTTCATACATGGTTGACGGACAAGGTTACTTGATTATTAACAGAGAGGTAAGATTCACATCCTTATAGGTAATTTCTTCCCTTGTCCATGTTTAGCATTTGGGATGCCTCTTGTATGTGGCCACAAATAAGAGTGCATAGTCATAAGGAATGTTTGCAGCCGCTATATTTTTCTGTTTAAATACTCCATTTTAACATCCTCGGTTTTGGAGCTGCTTAATTAATTATCTTCGACTTTATTCAACAAACAGTTTGTGTTCCCATTTGCCAAGGATATGTAATAATATTAGAAATCCTTCTTTAAAAAGAGTTCCATCAAGGTTTTGCATTTTTTTAATTAAAAAATTTCACTCTTGTCTTTTCCTACCATAGGCACCATTATTCTTTTCGTGTTCTTGTAATTTAAATGGGTGCAATAAGCTTGAACTTTAAAGGGTTGATAGGTTTAAGTTTCCTATAAAAGGAAAAAGAATTAATATGTATGTAGTTATACGCTTAATTTTCTTGTTATCTGCAATCTGTTGGGATATTAAGATTTAACTTTGAAGGTTGATAGGTTTAAGTTTCCAATAAAAATATCATTAGATGTATGTAATGATAGGTTGAATTTCTTTGTTATCTGCAGTGTGTTGGGGATGATATAGAGGATTTGGAGTACACTCCAAAACCAGAATTTGAAGGGTTTTTCAAGGTGACAAATGTGAAGAATGAGGTATTGGTATCCATGGAAACACCCACCTACCTTCCCTTAAATGTCATTTTAATTAGTTTGGTTTGTATAAGGGGTTTTACAATTCTAATTACATGTAATTTTTGCAATTGATATGATTGTAAATGGTATGGTCATTGTTGCAGTTAGAACTTCTAAGAAAATGGTTTTGCCATATGCGGGAGGTGAAGCCTGGAATTTATGTCACATACAATGGTGATTTTTTCGACTGGCCTTTCCTGGAAACCAGAGCCGCGTATCATGGGTTTAAACTGAATGATGTATGTTGCTACTTTTTGAGTTACTTTCTTAAACAAAACAACAATAGAATTCAAAACTTCTAGACTGAAAATTTG